ATTCCCATGATGGAGTTTGGAACTAACTCTGGCCAGTATCGGAACTACCCCTTCAGCGGCCCGAATATGAACAACGCCCACTTGAACAACAACTACATCACCATGTCAAATAGCATGAACAACATGAGCAACATGGGTAGCATGAGTAACGTCAGCATGTCTGATATTTCGTCCCATATCGACTCGTTCTCGGGCCAGGACATGATGCAAATGTCCCCTAGTGGTCCTTTCCCCCAGTACTCGCCCGAGGTGCTCGGTTCCATGATGCCGCAGAGCTTCGCCAACATGAACATGAGCAACATGGGTGCCCAGACAGGCGGCATGGACATGTATGGCTCACCTGTCGTGGAGCCTCAGTTTTCCCAGACTGGCCTCGAATCCGGCGGCGCAGATGTCCAGATGGTCGGCTCTTCCGAAGACCAGTCTCTCGGGACCAGCACGGCACCGCTTATAAATAACCTGGACCTTGGCATGACCGGCGTCGAAGGAATGGCCGCGACTCCAGCCCCAGAAAATCGCCCTCAGGCTCATGTTCAGGCTCGAGCCCAGTCACAAGCACTTGCCCAACAACAGGCCGAAACCCAATCCCAAACCCATAAATCGGCTCAGCCCAAACGACCGCCATTTGAGCAGGAGCAGAGTCATACCCCCGTGAGCCAAAGCCAGAGCCAGAAAACCAGCCCGCTCAGCGCCCAGTCGGGAGCCTCCGTACAGGCGCCAGCTGCGCCTTCGACGCTGACACGGGACCTGTCAACCAACAGTTCATCAACACCACCGCACGCTTCCTCTCTCTCTACCACGCAGACGTCACAGGTCCAGGTCGCCCATTCGGCCGCCACTACGCCCGCCGCCGGCCCTCAGACACCGCGACTCGACACAAAGGACAAGAGCGTTTACTCCAAAAGCGGATTCGACATGCTGAAGGCATTGTGGTACGTCGCGACTCGCAAGAACCCGGAAATTCACCTAGGCGCCGTGGACATGTCTTGTGCCTTTGTCGTATGCGACATGTCTCTGAACGACTGTCCCATTATCTATGTGTCCGACAACTTCCAGAACTTGACCGGTTATAGTCGGCATGAAATTGTGGGACAAAACTGTCGTTTCCTCCAGGCTCCAGACGGTGCCGTCGAAGCTGGTTCGAAGCGCGAGTTTGTCGACGATGCTGCCGTGTACAATCTCAAGCAAAAGATTCACGAAGGCAAAGAGGTCCAACAAAGTCTCATCAACTATCGAAAAGGCGGCAAGCCGTTCCTGAATCTTCTGACCATGATACCCATTCCATGGGATGACCCTGATGAAATCAGGTTCTTTGTCGGCTTCCAGATTGATCTTGTCGAGTGTCCTGATGCTATTGCCTCCAGCCAAGATGCGCAGGGTGTCCAGGTCAATTATATGCACAGCGATATCGGGCAGTACATCTGGACACCGCCGAACGCAGGCCAGTGGGAGCCGGAAAATGGGCAGACATTGGGAGTAGATGACGTCTCGACCTTGTTGCAGCAGTTCAACCCCAAAGGCCTTGTTTCGGACTGGCACAAACAGTCCTGGGACAAGATGCTTCTGGAGAACGCAGATGACGTCGTTCATGTCCTTTCACTGAAGGGCCTCTTTCTTTACCTCTCACCCTCATGCAAGCGGGTACTCGAGTACGACGCCGCTGAGTTGGCAGGAAACACATTATCCAGCATCTGCCACCCTTCCGACATCGTCCCCGTAACTCGAGAGCTGAAGGACACAACGCCCGGAAGCCCGGTCAACATTGTCTTCCGTATCCGGCGGAAGCACAGCGGTTATACGTGGTTCGAGAGTCACGGCTCACTATTTGTCGAGCAGGGCAAGGGACGCAAGAGCATCATCCTTGTCGGCCGCAAAAGGCCAGTCTTTGCACTGAGTCGTCGCAACCTTGATGCCAACGGCGGCATCGGTGACAGTGAGCTGTGGACGAAGCTCTCCACATCAGGCATGTTTTTGTTCGTATCGTCAAATGTTCGGTCTCTCCTGGACCTGCAACCGAACGATCTCATTGGCACTAGCATTCAAGAGCTCATGCGGAAAGAGTCACGAGCCGAATTCGGCCGCACGATCGAAAAGGCACGACGTGGCAAAATTGTCACTTGTAAGCATGAAGTTCAGAATAGGAGGGGTCAGGTATTACAGGCACAGACGGTTCTGTATCCTGGCGACGCCTGCGAGGGTCAGAAGCCCACCTTTCTACTCGCTCAAACCAAACTCATCAAGGCTTCGTCCAGAGCAATTGCACCTGCAGCAACACCACCCGGAAGCGTCAAGTCCACTGGTAAGAAAGGCCAACTGCAGACGTCATCGACTGGAGGCGCCGAGGCCCAAGCGGGCGGTATCGTGTCAGCGCCAGCAGGCGGGGCATTGGCTCTGGGCACCCAGGATGTCGCACTCGCAGCAGACGACAACATATTCGACGAACTGCGTACTACCAAGTGCTCGAGCTGGCAGTTCGAGCTGCGGCAGATGGAGAAGGTGAATCGAATTCTGGCCGAGGAGCTTGGCGGCCTTCTCTCCAATAAGAAGAAGAGAAAGAGAAGAAAGGGTGTGGGCAACGTGGTCCGAGACTGCGCCAACTGCCACACACGGAACACCCCTGAATGGAGGCGAGGACCTAGTGGTCAGCGTGATCTATGCAACAGTTGCGGTCTGCGATGGGCTAAACAGGTAAGAACATGCGACCCCCTTTCCTTCCAAACGAGTAGTACCTAACCCAACACTCATCTACAGACCGGACGAGTTTCACCCCGCAATTCGTCTCGCGGCGGGAACAGCGGTGATGCGGCAAGTAAACGATCCAATTCGCCCCATCAGTCTTCACCCCTCCATCGTGAGCTTGGTGCCGATGGAGTGGTCCATGCCGAAGATACTTCGGCGGGTAGCGGCGCGCTGAATCCAGCCAAGGTGCATGCAACAATGCCCCCGCCCAGTCAACCATTGCTTGAAGGGGGTAGCGGCGCAGGCATCACATCGATCCGCGAAGAACGAGAGATTTATAACACCAACTAGACGACCATCGACCCCCTAGACAGTCCCGAAGGACACTGTGCATGAACCCGAGATACCACTTTCTATTTCTACTTCTTCCATCTTGAGACTCTTCTCTTCTTTTCATCTTGTTTCTTCGCTCATTTCCTCAGAGGGGCCGAACACTCGGGTTGCCGGCATTCTGGCGATGATGGACATAGCTTGCTTCTGTTTGAAGGCGGTATGGTGGTGTCTCTCAATCCGTATATAGTACAATTGGTGATGCGGAGGACGACATGGGGCGTTCGGCAAACTACTGTTGGGAAAGTCATGAGCCATTCTTTTTCCTTGCAAGTTGTGGTGGGGTCGATGAATATTTCCACCCCTCCACTATGGTACGAATGGGATAGAAAAGCAGCACGGCAGCATCGGAGGGGCAAGCGAGCTTTGTTTTGGAGTCTTGTACTGGGTGCAGCAGTGGGGCTGAACGTTGAGTCCGTATTACGAGATACACGATTTTCAATCCCATTATGACTTTGATCATCGCACTGCTGGTGTGTCAGGAATGACTGCGTGGCATCCTTTAAGAAAGTTATACATTGTGCTTCCTTCAGCGGTGCTATCTACCCATCATCCCTTGGCAAATGCAGTGCTACGATGAAATCGATCACACTCTGAGGAAATATTCTGGCCCGCCTTGCAGGCAAGGAGGGTCCCGCGAGCTCTCTTTGCCTAAGCAGCATGGGGACCAAGAAGAGGCCTTTCAGACTGATCGCCTTGGAAGGGGTAGTACTGATTTGCTGCGCAAACACCAAGTCCAGGGGAGAAAGGGGAGGGGGGGGTTTGGCGGAGAGATTGGTTATGGGGTATCATCCACTGAGAAACAAGAGATGCGCAATTTTCACTCTTTCCTGGTGCCTCGACGATCACAGTATCATGGCATTGATCAGACTTTGTGGTCTCTGCTGAGTCGATTTCTCGGTTCTCGTCCTGGTGCTTGCCACGAGCCGGATGGCGGGCCGCTTCACCATCGCCGAGCTTGGAGTTTGTCATGGTCATCTAGCTTGCTTTCGCCTCGTTCTCTGTAAATCCGTGCCGTCTCTGGGCAACCCTGACCAACCCTGACGCCGTGCCGGACCCAATCTCATCCTGAGAACCGTCGAGCTTGTTCTCGGCTCCTCCATCCAACGCCGTGGTACACGCCAGAAAGACAAAACAAACCATCGAGCCGAAAAGGGGGGTGGGAACGGGATTCACAATCCTATCATGCACAGTCCCCCTCTCCCATGTTTCTGACCAAACCGTCTAAACCAAACGTGCGGGCCTTGGCCTGAGCAAACATTGCTGCTCTGGCGCGCTCGAGCACGTGCTAGCCATGCTCTACATAGAAGCCGAATGGTGCTGTGCGCCGGTGCGCTTCAAGGCGTAAGACAATGTGCGGCAAGAAACAAGACGATGCGGGCGCAGCGCAAGGCTTTGCGTCGTTGCAAGGACATGAAGGACCAATTGCCTGTTTCGCGTACAACATGTCGCTTCTCCCTGCAAGTGATGTCTGGTTTTGTTCGGCCTCGTCATGGTCTCGTGTCCTGCGGTCTTGTCTGCGTCGCGCATTCTTCTTCGTCATTCGTGAAACAAAACGCCGTGTCGTGTGCATGCAGATGCCCGGATAGCAGAAAGGAAAGGGGCGTTGTCGAGGACATACTGCACGCCAAAAGGAAAGAAATTCGAAAGAAACAATCTGCCAACGGTCCTTGGCGCATGCAGTTTAGTGCTCGAAACGCAAGCCCGGCGTCGTTGCCAAGCGCTAACTGGTGAACTTTGATGGAAAAAAGAAAAGAAGAGCGGCCTAGTCGAAAGAAACAAAACGGCCGGTCAATGTGATGTGTTGTGAGTTGTGGGTGAATCCTCAACCTTCTCGCCCAGGCAGGCGAGAAGAGGGATCTGCAAGACCTATCCAGGCAGTAGACGAGGAACATGCTACCCATGCTATTATGCATGGGGTCGTCCAGGCGGTTCTGCTGTAGTATAGGAACAATGACCGAGGGGCAGCGCCTCTGGTCGCAGACGGCTGGAGCGCATCTGGTGGCGGTGACTCGACACAATTCAGATCAGGCAGGACTTTCGTCCATGCTGAACCCCCAGTGCTGAGCCCCTCAGGTCATTGTTCTTTGACTGATCAAAGAGCTTGTCAAGTTTGGCCCAATTGCCATGGCTGATGCCAATACAGCCGTGGAGAAAGCTAGCCGCCGTAGCATCTCCTCGCTTGACGGCCATGTCATGCTGGAGCTGATACTGCTGGTACATGCCGTAATACCGGTTGACCATGCGTCTCAGCTTGGCTGTAGGCAGTCTGTCAAGGTTTTCACCAAGACTGGCGGCGATGTCGGCCTCCTGCGGAAGTTCGCCGTAGACCGGGTGGCACGCGTTCTGAACGTGGGCCGCACGAACGCCACGGTAAGCCTGTGCTGACCGAGGTCCTTGTTGAGCAGTCTGCTACGACTCGTCAACAAGAGCCTCGGCAAACTTATCGAGAAAGTGCAGTGAGAAGCGGTGACCCCACTGGGCCTGAAAGTGGCGGTCACGGAACGTGGCGGACGTGTTCTTCTTGAACGCGTACAGCTCGACGACCCAACCCGACTTGAGGGCTTGCTCAACCTTGGCGAAGAAGCCTTTGGAGAATTGGGCCTCGTTGCCGTCACCTGTGGCGAGCACAACAACGCCGGGCGTGCCAGCGATGACGCCATCAATGATATCGTCGGAGATTTTCATCTGCAAGATTTCATCGACGCCCTGTTCCTGCATCTTGCGCGGGCTCGTCTCGAGGGGAAGGCCGTAGCCGGGTCGAGCCTGCGCCTGCTCGTTGGGACGGTAGACACGCTCAAGAATGCTCGCATCATAGCCGTGCTCAACAAAGGCGTCCAGGGTCTTGAGCTCCTTCTGGCCGGGCTTGGCGGAGCGGCTGCCAGCGAGGACACGGCTCTTGATGCCGCGGTCGCGCTCAAGTATGAGCTTGATGCGGGCGAAGTCGAGGACATCAGCACGGCGTGAAGTGGGAGGAAGGCCGTAGCCACGCTTGAGCTCCTCCTGGCAGCCAATCATAATGTTGGACCAGTCAATGTAGACGTAAATACCGTTGGCGTACTCAGCAGGGAAGTCGGCCATGCTGTCCTCGTCATGAGACTTGAAGTCCGCCAGTACGACGCGCCGCAAGTCGTCGAACGTCGTCTTTGCCTTCTCGGGTGACGCATCGACAGGGCCATTCATCCGCAGAGCAAAGGCAGCGGCGCGCGCCTCGACGGAGGATTGGCACATGTTTGAGAGAGCGAAGCTCTGGTGACAAACGTGGGATCCATGGTGCGTAAACTTTGCGGCCATAGCGGAACTAGGCATACCCAACGTGGGCGAGGCCGGAATCTCAGGCTCAGGGGAGCTCGAGGGGTTCAGTTCGGGGGAGAAGACATTGGGATTTTCGCCGTCATTGCTGACCGACGTCTCGATCTCGACGGGTTCTTCGCTGTGCTCGCCGTCAGCCATGGATAGGGCATGATGGGCCAGCGTCTGATTTTCAGATGCATCTGTCGATACGAGAAGGTTGGCAAGGCGGTCTCCGAGGGCAGGCTGATCGGGGAGCAAATTGTTGTGGTCGGGACCGGAATCCCAGTCGGTTGTAGGGTCTTTGTGCACGCCAATGTAAGCCCAGACCTTCTTGAAGTCGCCGAGGCGGTTAGGGTCATGATTCTTGTACAGCCTGCGGCGACCGGGACTCAGAGGGCGTTTACGCTGGCCGGCGACCATGCGCGCAGCGGGCGTTGCAGCAGGCAGCATCGAAGGTTTTTTTGCTGCCAGTCTTGATAGGGTGTGATCAAGGGGAGGTGGGGATGGTAAGAGGAGCGTTGCAACTGGCAGGAGCCATATGAAGAACGGCAACCGGCTTTTCGAGACACGGAAATGCCTTCCGTGTGAGTAAACGATGGCTCTTGGCTCTAAGGAAATGTGTAAGCTGGGTGCACCGCCACATGATTCCGAGTGGATGAAAACCAGAGGAAAGACCAGGCAGGTTAGGATGGCTAGCTAGGTAGCCAAGTTGTGTTAAATGTCCGATCAGGGCAAGTAGAGATGGACAGAGTCTAAACGCCGTAACGTTTACACAATCTTCGCAACCTGGCTGGCCAAATAAACCTTATAGAGGCCAGGGGACATGAGAGCATAAGAGAGTGCAGTCCCTATCATTGGGGATCGGGGCAGAGGGGTAGGCATACCAGAGTAGAGGATTGCGTCGGCAACGAGAGTCGCGGGTTTGCGGCAAGGGGTGAGTGTTTACGACGACGGTAGGCAACAGTGTGAAGTCGTGCGTCAGGAAAGGGTTGGGTAGTAAGGGAAGAGGATCCAGGCAGTTTCCCCAGTCGACTGAAGCAAG